GGAGTAAGTGCGGGGCAGAGCAGCCTGCAGGCATCCCTGGGGGCTGGGTCCCAGTGGATTGGGAAGAAGAGTGACATGGGAGGAGCCTGGTCCTAGGTCCGGGAGGTGCTAAGGAGCCCTGAACCTCCAACCCACAAGTACAAGTGTGAGGAATCAACTTCCGCCTGGTTTAAGCATCGGCCAGTGGGGTCCCTGTTACACCAGCGTCCTCCCTCCCCATCCCAGAGAGCGACAGCACTTAGGCCAAAACACGGGCTGCCCTGGGCCCTTTCCCTGGGTCCTCCAGCTCTTCCGCCAGCAGCCCCAGCTCCTGGGCTGGGGTGAAGCCTCCCAGCCTGTCCCTCGGGTCGCCCTGCCCCCGCCCCCAGTCCCATGGCTGATCCCGGCGGGAAGCATCCCTGGTTTGTAAAGTAATGGTTGGAGGGTCTCTGAAGGACCAGGACACTGATAAGGTCTCACAGCATCTCCCCAAAAGATGCTTACTAACTACTGAGCCAAGGGATGGGGACCCGGCATGTGGGGACAAACACGCAGCACACCCGTCCCCCGCAGGGGAGCTCAGGTGGGCCTGCGACGGACGCTGCTGCTCACAGGGCAAAGCCAACAGCTCCTCATGAAGCTCAGCCCAGGCCGGGCTTGCCTCAGGGGGGTGCATGTGCTTGCACACACCCCCCCCCAGGCCTCCCCAAACCCTTCAAGGTCCCGCAAGAGGGAGCGGTATTCCAGGTTCAGGGAGAGAGAACCCGCAGCCGGCTCACTGTGGGGCCATCACTAAGGGAATCGGACATTCAGCTGAGCCCTGCGCCCGGCTAGCAGCGTGTGCACTGGGACCGTGACACGGTGACATTGTCCGTAGGAAACACACTGCAAGCGTTTGGGGTACAGTGACATCAGGTCCGCTCAGTCAGCGCCACGGGAAAAGGCACGAGAGGGGGAGGGGCACGCCCACTGCCCCCGTTGGGTCGCGGCCTTGGGGTGTGGCCGGTGCCCCCGGGGGCTCCTGCGTTCTTCTTCCCTAAGCCCGAACCATCTCAGGACGGCGTGCACGGCTGGGCCTGGAGACCCCCTGGAGACCCCCTGGAGGAGACGCACGTCGGGGGTCAGCCGTTGGCCGCTCAGGGGAAGGCAGGCCCGGGAGGGGCGGCGGCCTGCGGTGCTGCAGACGTTTTGGGACCTGCCCGGGGCTGCGGCTGCCCACACCGTGACCTGCCCAGTGGTGGGCACCAAGACGGCACCAGGAGAGGACTGCGGGAGGAGCGCGCTCCCGGTCACCTCGGCCACCCGCGTTTGCGCCCGGTTTCCTTGGCCCGCCACCCGCACACCCTCCCCGCAGCCCTGAAGGCGGTCCCAGGACGCGCGCCCACTTTACAGAGGAAGAAACTGAGGCGCGGGGCGCGAGAAGGCACCGGCCCCCTGTGCCCGCCCGCCGCCCCGGGAGCCCGCGGCTCGGGTTTCAGGAAGGGGCTGCCAGGCCGCCCCACCCTCGTCCCTCCCAGAGAACAAACAGCCACCAGCCCGGCCGGTTCCAGACCCACCCTAAGGGGAACGTGTCCCCGTGCGGTCTGCGACCCAGCCGGTTCCGCGCCGCCTGAATGACCTCCGCCACCAAGGCAGCCGCCTTTGTCCCCACCCCACCGGAGCCTGCTGACGTGCCCCAGTCCACGGACCCTCCCACGTCACCTCTGCCTCCCCACCATCTCCAAGCCCAGCTGCTCACTGGCCGCCCTGACCACCGGCCCCAGGAGCGGCTCCTGCCCTCCCACACTGTCCCTTCACTGTTCCCTCCAGAGCCCGTACAGAGTCCCAAGTCTTGTCATATCTTCTGTTTATCTTCCATGTCCTCACCACACCGACACCGGTGGTGACAGTATCACAGGGGCCCCAGCTTTGTTCTCCTTCTCCTCCCAGCCTAAGTGTTTGCTTCTACATGACTTCAAGACTCAGGCCACTCCCAATGCTTAGAATGCATCTTTACATCTTCCTTGGAGAACTCCTATTCATCCCTCAAAACCCTGTCCAGATTTCACAACTGAAAACGGCTTCTTTGACTGGACTCCCCCTCTCCACCACCTGACCCCCCACACACACAGCCTGCAAGGCCACATTAAAGGCTTCCTCTGGGGACACACAATGCCCTGCACCTCTCCATGACTGTACGCATCACCATGAATCATGACTGCCCATGTCAGGAGGGTCCATCTCCTCAATAAGACTTTCTTCTTGAGGACAAATGGTGAGACACTTAGGTGTGGGAGCTGCGCATTGAATGACTCTGTTGGATGTACACACAGGGTGAGTCCCCGCCTCCTGAGGCCCAGTCCCCACGCTGCATAGCCCCCCACAACAGACACCCCGCCATTTGCTGCGGACTCCTCAGCAAAGCCAAGCGTCTCGGACGGTGGGGTGCAGGTGGGGTAGTGGAAGAGGGGGTGGGTTCAGACAGGACACCCAGGGGAGCCTCCCAACCCAGAGGACACCAATCCAGCTCCCTGTGACAGGCACCACCTTGGGAAGGAGCCAAATGCAGACCCGCACTGTGCGTCCTCAGGACGGAGGCTGCAGGGGCTAGAAGAGAACTCTGAGGGCACAGACCCCTGGGGGTCTCCAGCACAGAGTCACACCTCCTCCGTCTGACAACGGCTGGGGCTCTGCAAGGGTGGGGGCCCTGGTATTTCAGAACCACACCCCGTGGTTTGGAGGAGGGAGGGACCACTTCTGCTGCCACCGAAGGGGGAGGAGGCTGCTGGCCTGGTGAGGGCGGAGTCTCAGGTTTCGCTCTCACAGGCTGCTCCAGAGAGCAGGCCACCCATGGGTCACGGGGGCCAGGGGGCCTCCTCTGCTGCCCCCCTGCAGAGGAGCTAGCCCCATAGCCCCTCCTCCCTCAGACCCGGAGTCCAGGCCCAGCCTGGTCTCCCAGACCAGTGTCCAGAGCCCTGGCTCATACCAAGGACACTTTCTTCATCTGCACATGGAAAAGAGGGCAGGCTCAGCTAATCCTGCCTTTATGTCACAGCCCAGGGCCTCTGTGACCCTGGGGGACGGCAGTGTCCACCCTGAGTCCATGTGGTCTCCTCTGTGTGTGGGGTGAGAGGTGGGTGATGCTCCTCTCCTAGAGCCCCACCCCTGACAGGACAGAGCTCAGAGGGCATTCAGGGCACCCGTGTGGCAGGAGACCTGACCCTGCTTGCTCTGCTGCACACGCCCCCACCCTGGGGACAGAGTCTGACCTCCCTCCTTTGCTCAGGCAGAGGCAGGGCCTGGAGCACCCCCACGCCCTGGGCCCCCTCGGCTGTCAAACTCACCCTGGGTGCAGCCTGCTGGGCGCGTCTGATGGGCCCTTTGTGCCCCCTCACAGACAGGAGGGAAGAAAGGCCATGGTCCCCATGACGGCCGCCCTCTGCCAGGGCAGTGCTGACAGCTCTGGGGACTCTCATCCCGTCCTTGCTGGTGGCAATCCCACTCTGCAGTGGGGACTGAGGCACAGAGAGGTGACGCAGCTTGCCCAGGTCGCAGAGAGGCAGCCCAGGTAGCACCAAAGCACGCAGGTCCCACGGGTGTGGCGGGGTCAGCCCCTGCTCCAGCACCAGCTGTGACGGGGACAGACCACGCGCCCATGCGTGCCTCGGCCTCCCCGTGCAGCGGCAGAGCGCGCAGTGGGATCGCACTCGCCTGTCCATCACGTCCTGAGACAGGAGCTGCTGCCACAGACGTCACCGAGCAGCGGGCGCAGCCAGGACTCGGCCTCACCTGCACTTACCCTCGCCCCGCATCGTGCCTCTCTGGGTTCTTTCCTCGCCGTCGACTGGGGCAACAGGAGCTTTGGGGTTTCCCGCGTCACCAGCGCAGACCCCGGAGTCCAGGTGTGCTGGGTGAAGGAGCACGGCACGCCACAGAGGCCGTCCCTCCCTGACCCCACGGTCGCCGGGCAGCGCTGGGGCAGGTCTGAGGGTGGGAGTGTGCCCTGCTGCGTCCCTTCCCTCCAGGCTGCTTCCTCAGCTCCCGGGGGGCACCCCGTCCCTGGTGCTGGGGACACGTGAGGTGAGTGTGGCCAGGCGTGGGGTCCAGGCTCAGCTCTTAGGCCTGAGACCTGCAGGTTCCAGGGACGCACCCGGAGCCTGTCAGGCACAAGGGCACTTAATGACCTAACTCTTAAGATCCTCGTCACACGTCACATGAGGGTTATTGAGGGAAATTTCCAAAGAAATTGGGCAGGGTGGTGGGGTGAGGGCCCAGGGGGGACAGACAGGAGGCATCTGGGCCGGCGACAGGGCCGTGAGACCCTGGCTCTGGGCACTCCCTTGCCCCCCTGCCCTCTGACCCGCTGGCAGCAGTGCCACAAGCCGCTGCCCTCCCTGGGGCCAGTGTCCTCCGGGGCCAGGTGGACTGCTGAGGGAGGCAGAGCTCTGATGCAGAGCCAGGAACTGGACGTCAGGTGTGATTGTTGTGGTCACTGTTGTGCTGCTACAATGGGCACAGTCTCCGGGTTTCCCCAGGCCATCCCAGCCCCCTCTCGGGACTGTCTGCAGCCCCGCCCAGGCCACCTCAGCGGGCAGTGCCAGGTGAGCAGCTCAGGTATGCAGAGGCGGAAGGCCAGGGAGGGAGCAGGAGGTGGGGCCTGAGGCTGGAAGGGAGAGAGGCTGAGGGCTCAGAGCACGGCAGATCCTGACCGAGCAGGTAAGGAGGCCTGAGCCCTGCAGAGCTGGGCCTGGACCCCGGGTCTGAGGGGGGAGGCTGGGCCTGGACCCCGGGTCTGAGGGAGGAGGCTGGGCCTGGACCCTGGGTCTGAGGGAGGAGGCTGGGGCTGGACCCTGGGTCTGAGGGGGGAGGCTGGGCCTGGACCCTGGGTCTGAGGGAGGAGACTGGGCCTGGACCCTGGGTCTGAGGGAGGAGGCTGGGCCTGGACCCTGGGTCTGAGGGGGGAGGCTGGGCCTGTGCCCTGGGTCTGAGGGAGGAGGCTGGGCTGGTCAGGAGGCTCACGTCTCTGCGGGCTCCCAGGTGCCTCCAGGTGGTTGCAGCTCCCCCCCCAGCACCATGAGCACCACCCCTGGGTAAGTGCCCTCCGGCCCCCAACCCTCCACACCTGCCACAGCTGCGGACCCTTCTGCAGCAGCCAGGCCCGCACTCAGGGGAGAGCCAGAGCCACATCCCTCCGTGTCCAGCCCTGGCCAGGCACAGACAGCGGTGTCCATGCTCAGCCGTGGGTGACCTGCAGAGGGACTTCGCCCACTTTAGCCCAGCCCCTCTCTGTGAAGTGGACAGTGTTGAGGACTGACAGAGTGACGCTGACAGAGTGACCCCTTGCAGGACCCCCCGGGGACTGCCGCTGCCTCTCAGGATCTCGTCCCACACATGTGCACCCTTGAGCCTCCTGCAGTGAGCAGGGACAGCCAGGGGACGCCCCGGCCACGAGAAGTAGGGAGCTCTGCAGCTCGGGGTATCACACTGTGGGGACGGCTGGCCAGCAGCAGAGAGAGGACCTGGGACAACAGGGTCTCCTGTGGCAGTGACTTGGAGAGGGGCTGGGCGGGGAGGAGAGGGAGCAGGAGGGCCCTGGGAGGAGCCTGCCTGTGGGTGACAGGGGAGGCCTGTGTCTGCTGCAGGTGCTGCTTGTGTCCTTGTATCATTCCCACGTATTGAGCAACTACTGAGTCCCAAAGTCCCTTGCATCACCGTAACACGGATGGTCATGGTGACTGAGCTGCACCTCCTCCCCTGCCTCGCCTGACTGCACCTTCCCAGAGCCCTGGCAGGTGGATGCTCTCCTACACAAGGGAACTGAGGCAGGAGAGACCAAGTCCCTGCCCAGGATCTTAGGGCAAGGAAATAGCACAGAGGACTGGAACCCAGGTCTTCATGACCCCAGAGACTACACTCCCTGTCCCCACCCACTACCACCTATCTGACTTCTTACAACCAACCTTGGTCCTGCCCTTCCCTGCCTAATACCCACCATGGCTCCCCATTGCCCCCACAATGAAGTCCTTGCTGCCCTGCCTGCCATTCTTCCAGGATCTCCTCCCAACTCCCACAGTCCCTCTCACCCTCTTTTCTTCACCAGCCCAGAAGCTGCCCCCAAGCCGAGTGCCAAGTCTATCTACGGTGAGTGTGGGGTCAAAAAGAACTAGAGACGTGGCGCCCAGGTTCCTGGGAGAAGAGGACTGGGGGCCCAGACCTCTGGGTCTGAGGGGGAGGCTGGGCTCTCCTCCTCTCTGAGGAGGGGGCTGGGCTCCCATCCTGGCGACTCCCCTCCCCGCAGAGCAGAGAAAGCACTACTCCACCGTGGTGATGGCTGATGTTTCCCAGTACCCTGTCAATGTGAGTCTGGGGTCTGTTTGCACAGGGCTCTTCTGGGGAAAATGTGACCATACAGATAGGGCAGTTGAAGGGCAGGGTCATCAAGCAGGAATGAGTCCTCTAGTCACCCACAAAGTGGGCTTTCTGTAGTGGCCTCAGACATTAATCAGTCATGGGCCTCAGCTCCATCAGATCTGCGGACATTGCCTGTGACCAGCTCTTGTGCTGGACTCAGGGACTACGAGCCGCAATGTGGATGAGAGAGGGTAGATGGCGCCAGAGTCCTGAGTGCCAGGGCTCTAATGGGAGGGAACCAGAGGAGGCCTTTACAGGGACTCGCTGTCCCTCCGACTGGCTCCCGCCCTCAGGGGGCGCTAGTCTTGGGGAGAAGACAGCCCCCAGTGCTAGCCTCCGAGGAAAGAGGCGCCGCGGCTCTGGGTGGCTGGGTGGTGAGCCACTGGGGCAGGCGCTCCGGGAAGGCTTCCTGGAGGAGTGGTTAGCCTCAGGCTGTCAGGGTGGCTCCCGCGGGCTCCGCCCACCCGACCTCATTCCGGGACTGAGCTGGCTCTTTGTGGCTGCCAGCACCTGGTGACGTTCTGCCTGGGCGAGGAGGATGGCGTGCACACCGTGGAGGATGCCTCCAGGAAGCTGGCCGTCATGGACAGCCAGGGCCGTGTCTGGGCACAGGAGATGCTACTTCGAGTGTCCCCTGACCGCGTCACCCTGCTGGACCCAGTCTCCAAGGTGCCAGGGGGCACATGGGTGGGGAAAGTGGAGGGGCCGAGCCTGCAGAGACACGGAAAGCTTGCCCCTGGGGCTTCAGGGTCTGAGTGTGAAGCTGGGCTCCCGCACGTCCTTCCTCTGGGAACTGGGGTGCAAGGCCCCGCCCCTTTTCTGGCCATCCCTATTAAATGGGGTTGTTATCCCTAATCCCGTTACCTCTTGAGCCAGCTCCTGCACCAACTGGGCACTGATGTCACCAGTTGATAGTATTATCGACCAGGGCCTCAGTGTACCCCGCCGTCCCCCCTCACAGGAAGAGCTCGAGTCTTACCCACTGGGCGCCATCGTGCGCTGCGACGCGGTGGTGCCACCGGGCCGGAGCCGCTCGCTGCTGCTCCTGGTGTGTCAGGAGCCAGAGCGTGCGCAGCCAGACGTGCACTTCTTCCAGGGCCTGCGCCTGGGGGTGAGAACGGGCTCCGGACCGAGTCCCAGCCTTGGCAGAAATGGGCGGGGTCTCTAGGTGATGGGGCGGGGCCTGGAGCAAAGGTGGGGCAGGGGTCCACCGGAACCCGCCGGAACCTGAGCCCGAGGTCCTGGGAGGGAGTGGTGTTTGCAGACAGGTTGATTCTGGACCAAGACCGGACCAGAGCGTGAGATGGAGAGTGAGGCTGAGGGCTCAAGTATTCAGAGGGTCTGGGGAGTAGCCAGAAGGAGGATGCTGGGCAGTGTGGTCCAGGACGAAGAGCCGGACTGGTCTCCACGGCTGGGTCGTGAACGAGGGCAGGGACAGACTTTGGGCGAGAATTCGAGTCCAGGCGTGGACGTGCGTGGGTCCACAGGCGTGAGCGACAGCAGCGGGGGACCAGGGCTGAGCAATTAAAGTGTCCGTGGCGAGACCTGGGAGGGCAGCGGCTGGGGCGTGGGGAGGCATAGCCTGACAGCATGATTGACAGGCCGAGCTGATGCGAGAGGACATCCAAGGGGCTCTGCACAATTACCGCTCAGGCCGCGGGGAGCGCCGGGCAGCAGCGCTCAGGTGAGCGAGCTGGACTAGAAGCACCGGAGGGAGGGCTGGGCTCTCTGGGGAGCGGATGTCCCCTTTCTGGACCTGTTTCCTCATCCACAAGGAGCAGAACGAGGGTTGAATGGAGTCTAGCAAACCCTGCTCAGGCCCTGCGCGGGCCTCCCGGGGCCCTCTCCAGGGCTCTGCTTTCGCCTTTCCCGCCCGGGTTTCGCTCCGCGGGTCAGCTGTCTCCCTGTGAGATGCCAAGCCTGGGTTGGACTCCTTGCGGCCTCAATGTCCTCTACTCCACCGCCCCCGTCCCTTCGGCTGATCCAGCCTCAGTTTCCCCTTCTCCTTCCGCAGGGCCACGCAAGAGGAGCTGCAGCGCGGCCCCTCGACCGCCGCCGAGACCCCGCCCCTGCAGCGCCGCCCGTCGGTCCGCGCGGTGATCGGCACTGCGGAGCCAACCGCCGGCCGAGGGCGACCCCGGGTGGAGCCTATTCCGGAGGTGGAGGCCCCCAGGCCGGCCCCGGAGCGCACCGCCTGCGTCGCTGACCCGACCTCGCCAGACCTGGGCCCCCGCGGTCCTGAGCTGGCAGGTCTGCAGGCGGAGAGAGAAGTGGTGAGTGGCTCCCAGCAGCCCGAGACTGGGGGCCCCGACGTCAAGCAAACTCCTGGGGTGGGGGCTGGGGAAACGTCCGGGATCCAGGAGGCTGGCTGTGCGTCCAGGCGCTGGGCTAGAGCGCCTCCGCCCGGGTGAACGTCTGGGATCCAGGAGCCCACGCGGCTCCCTCCCCCTCCCGCAGGACATCCTGAACCACATTTTCGACGACGTGGAGACCTTCGTATCGAGGCTTCAGAAGTCGGCAGAGGCCGCCCGAGTGCTGCAGCACCGCGAACGCGGCCGCAGGACGCGGCGCCGGGAGGCCGGGGGTAAGGGGCGCCCGCTGGGCGGGACTATCTCCCCGGGGGCTCCCTCCGCCTCCGGCCTGGTCCACTTCTCACGGTACCCGCTGGTGTCTGTCCCTGTGCCCCCACCCCCGCGCCTGTCCGCACCCACAGAGGGCCTGCTGACGCTGAGGGCCAAGCCGCCCGCGGAGGCCGAGTACACCGACGTGCTTCAGAAAATCAAGTACGCCTTCAGCCTGCTGGTGAGGACGCGTCCGCCCCTGGACTCGGGGCGAGGGGACAGAGACCCTGACTCGCCCAGGCTCAAATGCCAACGGCCCTCCTCCCCCAGGCCCGGCTGCGCGGGAACATCGCCAACCCCTCCTCCCCAGAGCTGCTGCACTTTCTGTTCGGACCTCTGCAGATGGTGAGGCTGCTCCCAAGGCCGCAGGCCCCCAGCAGGAGGAATCGGGTTGGACTTAGAGGGGTGGATGGCATGCCCACGCCTGCGTCCTGCAGATTGTGAACACGTCTGGGGGCCCTGAGTTCGCCAGCAGTGTCAGGCGGCCGCATCTGACATCCGAGGCGGTGGCGCTGCTTCGGGACAGTGTGACTCCCGGTGAAAACGCTCTCTGGACCTCGCTGGGGGACTCGTGGACCTGCCCGGGGTTGGTGCAGGGCTGGAGGGCAGAGGGCGTGGGGACTGGGAAGAAGGGGGACCAGAGAGGGTTGGAGATGGGGCTCAACCAAGAGGGTGCGGAGAAGAGGTTAATGAGGGCCCGCACTTAGGGCAAACGCAGCATCCGATTGGAGAAAGAGCTAAAAAATTAGAGTGCAGGAGAGGTTTAAGCTCTAGCCAGACTATTGGATTGGAACAAAAGGCAGGATTTAGAGGAATAATACCCGACTACAAGGCGAGGGCGGGGCTTAGGTGAATGGGGAGGGACTTAAGGGAGGCGGGGCTTAATGGAGGCGAGGCCCACAGATTTGAAGCGTGGATGAAGTCTTGGGGTATTAGGGGTAGGGGCAGAGCCAGAGACCCAGCTTGGGTCAAAGGGCAGGATGAAAGGAGCTAGGGGTTTCGGGTTGGAACCAGAGGTGAGAGGAGCCGACGGAGACTCAGAGTGGGATCAACGTGTTTAGAAACATATTTGAAGTCACTTAGAGACCGGGTGGGGTTAGAGTCCTCGCGACAGAGCGAGGCTCAGGGGAGGGGAAGTTAGTGAGGTCGATGACACTAAGTCCCAGCGGACCAAGATTACCTGAGCCACCGGCCCTTTCCTGGTCGCAGGCTGGAGCTGCCCCCGGAGGAGGGACCCCCATACAGCCCCGAGTTCTACAATGGCTGGGAGCCCCCAGCCACTGACCCTCAGGGCCGCGCTTGGGAGGACCCAGTGGAGAAACAGCTGCAGCACGAGAGGCGGCGCCGACAGGTAAGACTGGGGCTGCCCGCGGAGCCAGGCGGCGGGCGGACCGGGCTGGGAACTCCGCGCCCCCCTGACCCAGGCTCTCTTACTCCCTGCAGCAAAGCGCTCCCCAGGTTGCTGTCAATGGGTGAGTGTCTGCTCCGGGCCTGGGAAGGGGGGTCCCCGAAGGGGTACGGCCGGGGTTCCCAGCGCTGACCCCGCCCCCTTTTCTTTTTCCTTGTCTTCCCGGCTCTTCGCAGGTGGGTGAGGTGGTGACCAGATGGGGCTGGGACGGGGTGGGGCCGCAGGGAGGGTTGGGGTGGGTCCCAGGGAAGAGGGAGGCCCAGAGTCCTAGGGCTGAGGGAGGAAGGGGCTGGGAATGGGTATGTCCAAGAGGTCAGGCCCCTGGGTCCTCAAAAGGCCAGGAAAACGCAGTTGGGCTCTCCGGGCCGGGAAGCGTTCATGTCTGGGTTTCTAGAGGACAGGGCCCTGGGTATTAGAAGGAAGAGGCTGGGGATTAGACATATGGGTCTGGAAGAACTCAGGTCTGGTGCTTGGGCGGGGAGCCAGGTGGGGCTTCAGGGGCTGGAGGGAAGTTTCTGGGGAAGTCAGGAAGTGGTGGTATCTCTGGGTCTCTGGCAGAGGCAAAGACAGGGGGATTGGACCTGGGGTTTCCCAAAGGTCTTAAATTAATAGTCCAAGTCCTGGCGGTGTAGACTTAGAGATTGGGGGAGGGGGGGCTAAAAGGTGAGGAGATTGAAGCTTGCGACCCGGACTCTGGATCCTTGGGAATTAAAGAAGTAGGGGTCCAAAGTCATGGTTCTACAAAACTCTGGGGTCTCAGAGCCTTGGGTCCCAGGGGGGGAAAGACCAGAACTCGAAGGTCTTTGGGCAAGTACTGGGCAGAGTGGAGGAAACCACGTGGATGAGAGGGCAGTGAGGCTCAAGATGACGGGGGTCTGGGTGAGGGCCAGGGCAGAGGGTCTCAGCAGGGACTGCATGCTGGGAGCCGCCAGCCCCACACAGGGGGTGCCGCGGCCCAGAAGACCCCCCCTCTTCCCTGCACAGGTAGGCCTGATCCGGGTTGAGGTCCCTCTCACTAGGGGTCATATCCAACCTGTCCCCAGCTGCCTGGTGTCGCAGATGCCCTCCTCCCCCACCGTGCTTCTAAATCTTGAACTCAGCGTCCCCAGCTCTTCCCTTACCTTCTCAGCCTCCAGTTCTTTGTAAGGAAAAATGATCAGCCCTCCGTGGAAGGGTGAAGTCTGTGATGTGTCAGCTGGCAAAGAGCCCAAGGCTAGCCCAGCTCCAATTCAGGTCCACTGCACACACAGCGGGCAGTTACCAAGGCTGACTGCCTGGGGGCAGACGGTGGGGGGATACTGGGGATTGAACTCAGGGGCATTCGACCATTGAGCCCCAGCCCCAGCCCTATTTTGTACTTTATTTAGAGACAGGGTCTCACTGATTTGTTTAGTGCCTCACTCTTGCTGAGGCTGGCTTTGAACTCATGATCCTCCTGCCTCAGCCTGCGGGCGGAGCTGCTGGGATTACAGGCGTGCACCTCCAAGCCCAGCTCAGCCTTACCTCTCTTGCTCCCTAACCTTTACATCACTGTGCCTCAGCCTCCTCACCTATAAAAGCAGAGATAATGAGGTCCCTGGGGAAGGAAGGAACCGAGGGAGGTCCAGATTCATGGTTCTTCCAAGGTGGTCAGGAGGATCAATCAGCTTTATCTGTAACAGACTTTGCACAGTATGTTGCACGTGGGGCTATGTAAGTGTTTGCAATCGTTTTTACTGCTCATGAGCTATCATGATACCTATGGATACCCAGTACCTGCAGATGCTCAATAAATAGCAGCTGTTCCTAACCATGTGTTCTGAGCCTCGCTGTTCTTACCTATATGGTGAGAGATGATATACCCACACCATGTGCTCACAGCCAGGCAAGAAAAGGAGCACAATATATTTGAGCCATTATCCCCATTTCAGATCTCCATTAACATTATTAACCTGGCCCTGCTGCGACCCCTGCTTGGCTCTAACCCCAGCTCACACCAGCACCTTACTGCCCAGACCAGCAGGGCTGGCTGCCTCCTGATCTCCAACCCTTCCAACTCTCCTCAGTCACCAAGAACCAGAGCTGCAAGCTGAGCCCCAGCAGGAGCCGGAGCCAGCAGGAAAGTGGGTCCTGTGTAATTATGACTTCCAGGCCCGCAACAGCAGTGAGCTGTCCGTCAAGCAGCAGGATGTGCTGGAGGTGAGAGGTGTGGGGATCTGCAGGGCCAGGCCAGCACGAGCTGCAGACCCAGACCCAGAAACTCCTCCTCACACCCACCCAGGTCCTGGATGACAGGCGCAAGTGGTGGAAGGTGAGGGACCAACAGGGCCAAGAGGGATATGTGCCCTATAATATCCTGACACCCCACCGAGGACCCCGGAGGGACCACAGCCAAAGCCCTGCCCGAAGCCTGGTGAGTCAGAGCAGACTTGGGTCTCCCTGGAGGAGAAGCTGGGGCTGGATTCTGGGTCCTGGGAGGGAGGAACTTGGTGTCAAGGGAACTGGTGGATGAGGTGATGAGGTTCAGACGTGTGTCTCCAGAGGGAAAAGGCGGGGACTCTGAGTCTCCTCCCTGACTCAGGTACCTCCTCTCATCCTCTAGGAGCACAGCACTCCCCCTCCCCCTCCAGCCCCGGCTCCTGCTCCGGGTAGGCCCCACTGGGACAGCTGCGACAGCCTCAACAACTTGGACCCCAGTGAGAAGGGTGAGTGGTGGGGCATCCCCTCCTGGGAGCGTCCCTCCTGGGAGCAGATCTCGGGGTGGCTTTCCAGGTAGGGAACCGAGACTAAGAGCGAAGGGACTCTCCACCCACCCTGGGGACGCTAGAAGGCCGGATGCGACTCTCCACCCACCCTGGGGACCCTAGAAGGCCGGATGCGGCCCAGCAGCGCTCTCCCTGAGTCCCAGTATCCCTCCTGCAGAGAAATTCTCCCAGATGCTGAGTGTCAACGAGGAGCTGCAAGCGCGCCTAGCCCAGGGCCGCGCGAGCCCCGGCCGAGCAGCCCCGGGTCCCCGCGCGCAGGAGCCGCAGCTCAGCCGGGACTCAGACGCCGGCAAAGTCCGCGCCTGGCTGCAAGCCAAGGGCTTCAGTCCCGGGTGAGTGGGGTCCGGCCTGCTGGGCCCGGCGGGGGCCGTGCGAACTCGGGGAGCAGGCGGGGCCCTTGGTGAGATCTGGTGGGATGGCCGAATGACGGGCTGCAGTTAGCCTCTTTCCCAGGCTGCGGTTGGAATTCCCAGGGAAGCCCCGCCCCAGAGGGCGCGCTGTGGTTGGTGGGTGGGGACTTCGGCAGTGTTGGCCCTGGTGGAGCTAGAAGGCCGCTCTGGTTGGGGAGGCGGGGCTGGAGGGGCTGGATTGTGATTGGCTGAAAGGCCTGACCGCGCCTCGCTGCCCTCGCTCAGGACGGTGACCGCGCTGGGCTTACTGTCCGGCGCGCAGCTTTTCTCTTTGGAAAAAGAAGAGTTGCGGGCGGTGAGCCCTGAGGAGGGGGCGCGCGTGTACAGCCTGCTAACGGTGCAGCGTGCGCTGCTGGAGGTGAGCCTAGCCCGGGCTGCGACTGGGCCCGGCGGAGGGGAGGGGGCGTGGGGGGGCGAGGCACGGAGGGCCGGGACGCCAAGGACCTGATTTCCACCCCTTTCTCCAGGACAAAGAGAAGGTGTCAGAGCTGGAGGCAGTGATGGAGAAGCAGAAGAAGAAGGTGGAAGGCGAGATGAAAACGGAGATCATCTGACCCTTCGGGGGCCCCTTAGCAAAAAATGAGACAGCGTTTTCCCAGGCCCTGCGGGAAGGCGCTGGGCTTCCCCGTCGGTGGAAGAGATTCCCTGAAGCACGCGGACCCAGTCCGGCCCTGGTCTCTCCTGCCCGGGTGGCCAGACTGGACAGTCCTTGCTGAAGTTCCTCCTGAGCCCCCAGGAGTCGGGAGGGAGTAGATGGACAGCAGGGAAAGCTCTTGGGCCACTGGAGAGGGAACACCCTGGAGAGGGCGCCCCTGAGCACGGCATTGTCACATGCAGCCCAGTCTATAAACAGTCTCTTCTAAGCAGGCAGTGTCCCCTCTCTAACTGGCTCCAGGGACCCACCCTCACCAGTCACAGGAGGCCCGGCATCTAGGCGATGTCCCACGTTCAGTTTCTCTCTGAACCTCTGCTCCGTGGCAGGGGCTCCTTCTGTCCTCCTCGCCGCTTGCCCAGGAGCAGCTTCCGAGCACCTGTCTCTGGCTCAACATCCATCCCGGCTCCCCTCGCCCTTGGCCTCATCGCAGTCCCTGGAGGCTTAGAGTGGACCCACTGGCCTGGCCAGCCCCTCTCACCTCCTCCTTCCTGCCGTCTTTGCCTTGCCCTTCTCCACTCGCGTCCCCCCACCACGGGTTTGCGCTTGCTGTTTCTGCTGGGGAACTCCAGCCGCCTTCCTGCCTCAGCTCCAGAACCAGCTCTGGGAAGCCGGCCTCACCCCGGCGACTCTCCCACACCTGCTTCTGTGCACTGTCCCCACGTCCCGCCCGCAGTCCTGCAGATGGTCTCTAAATGCAAACCTCCTGCCCTTAAAAATAGCTCCTTTCTCTCCCGCAGCCCTGCACCTTGTCCCCACCGTTTGGGGGCTGTGAGGTCTGGTTTTCTCTGGATCTCGCCCTTGTTCAGACCGGACATTCCTCCAACTTTAGGCTGAGTGGCACTTGCCCTGCGGCCCCAGAACACCCACTGCCAAGCACCACAGCCCCTCCCCTCCAGCTGTTTCTGCCTGAGCCACCAGATGGCGCCACCAGAATCAGGGGTCAGAGCCAGCTTCCATGATGCAGGTGTCCCATTCAGCCACTCCCTTTTGATGCCTCAAGCCAGGGGCTCCTGACCTGGGCCACTTCAGACCTCCAAGACTCCTTCCCACATGGACCCTGTCCCCCACTCAAAGGCATCCCTTGGCTCCCCATGGCCCACGGGATAGAAGCCCAGCTCCAGTCAGCAGCGAAGGCCAGAAGCCACCAGGCTTCCCTCTTCCTGCCAGCAGGCCTGGGCCCACACTGCTCCTTCTGCCCAGAATGTCCTCCGCCCCGTGGGGTCTGGTCACTGCACAGGGCTGCACCCTCATTTCTAACAGAGGAACAGGAAATGCAGGCAGTTTCACGAACGCCCTGCCCCACTTCCCCTTTAGTAAGCCCCAGGGCTCCTATCGCCCGGCTGCAGACTGAAATGCCTGGAGAGCCACCCAGGGACCCATGAGCAAGCCAGCGTGGCTGTCCCCTCCGCTGTCCCAGAATCTGACCATTGCTCCCCTTCTCCACGGCCATCCCCCTGGCCCCAGCCACCGTCACCTCTTGCTGGGATTTCCTCACCGGGTCGTCCTGTTCCCAACCCCCAGCCTACTCTCAATACAGCGGCCAGAGGGAGGTTCAAACCCAAGTCAGGTGGAAACCCAGAGGTCAGGCCTCATGGCCCCACCAGAGCCACGTCCCCACCAGCGGCCCTCAGCTCTCTAGGCGCCTTCCCTCCAGCCACTCTTCCTGCACCGCCATGTGCCAGCCACTTCCACCCCAGAGCCTCCGACACGTGGCTGTCACTACCCAAGGACACGTCCGCGGTCACGGGAGAATGCGGGCCACCTCCCGGGAGAGAGGGCAGCCTGTGGTGTGGGTGTGCATCTGTGTGGAGGGCAGTGCGAGGGGCTGGACAAGAGGTGGCGGCGGGGCGGGGTCCACATCGCGATTTCACACCAGTTTTCCCTTATACGTCCTCCTGTCACTGGGGGGTGGGGACCCTTTGTCTTGCCATTGTTCCTGGGAGCTTCCTGCATTTCCACGAGTTTGGGGTGTTTCCTCTAAGACCAGCATCTCTCTCACTGTCCCCAGTCCCTGTCTCATCTTGAAGCAGGACAGACCCAGGCTGGGCAGCAGGGAATGAGCAGGAATTCCTCTCAGCCAAGCCCAGAGCGGGACCCTCCGAACCCCCGTAACCGAAAGCTCGGTCCTCATCCTCGAAGGCGACCCAATAACAAAGACAAGGTCTCGAGAAAAGGGAAACAGAATGAAAGAGAACGTTTATTGCTTTGCTAGCGAAGGAGAAACACGGGATTCCTGTCCCAAAGGCTGTGATTCAGAGGGGATTCAGAGAAAACGAGGTTAGTGAGGAGCAATCAGGAAGGACAGGTTTAGGGAACAGAAGATCAGGAAGGAAAGATGAGGGAGGAGAAGGACAGGGAGAAGATTGGGAAAGAGGAAAAACACAAGTTTCAAAGCCACCAGGGATATAGCCAAAGCGTCAAGTGAACCCCTGTTACACCCAGAGTCCAGGAATCTTTAGAACCTTATGCCTGGAGTGTAGGTGAAGTGGGGGGGCGGGGGGCTCAGAGGCTCACAATTTGGAGAAGTCTACATAAAAGTAGTTTTTTTATTGTACCGGGTAATTAACCCAGGCCTGGATACAAAAAAATAAATAGGGGACACTGCAAAAATTAGTGCTTGGGAAAGGGGGGTTCCCCTCCGGTCTCCCCACCAGCTGGTGTCCAAGAAGCCTCCTAGCAACTTGCTCTTTCCCTAGGATCTAACTTCGTTCCTTTGATGTGTTAACACCCGTGAAGGCTCAGGCCCAGGCTAAAGGCCCTTATCACACTCGGCTTCGTAAGCACACTTCCTGCCTGAAGACTCTTACGAACAATCCTATGTCCTATTAGACTAGAAATGGATGGCACCAGACAGCCCATAAATGTCTGCAAAAGCAGTAAGAGCTGCTCAGGATCTGCAGGGCTGACCTCCTCCAGGCTCTTGGCCAAATTCAGCTATGACAAGATGGCAACGAGATATGGAGGCCTAACTACAGAAACTCTTGCTCACAGCCTGAGAACAATTATGGTGAGGGTCTCTGAAGAAGCTTAATTAAGATTTTCTGTGAAGGAGGGGGTGCCACCACAATTTGGGCTCAAAAATCAGTAACATAGGCAGTCTCGCACATACCTGTGATCTAGCTGCGCAGGTGGCTGAGGCAGGAGGCTCTCATGTTGCAGGCCAACAACTGCAATTTAGCAAGTCCCTAAGCAATTTAGTGAGACCCTGTCTCAAAATAAGAACTTAAAAGGGCTGGCAATGTGGCTCGGTGGTAAAGCACCCCTGGGTTCAGTGCCTTACATACACACTACACACACACAAAAAAAAACAGGTCACCTTGTTTTGACACACATTTCTACCGACGTCATTCTTGCCTCTTGCTCAAGCGGATTCTAGACACACAGGACTTCCCTCCATGCACTGGCACCTGGAGATTTGGGCATGAGGAGGAGCTCTCAGGAATTCCTACTCCACCGGTCATTCCAGATGGGCTTTGACTCCCTGTGTCGCCTAAAGCTCGGTCCCTGTCCCCGGTGTGAAAGCAGTATGAGGACCAGTTTGAGAAAAAGGAAAAAGAAGGTTTATTGCTTTGCTAGCAAGGGACAAACACGGGGGACCTGCCCCAGAGGCTGCGGTCCTGCCCATCAGCAGGAACGGGGGCTTTCAAAGGCTCCATGCACAGGTTCTCTGTTGGAGTGAAACCCACCTGTTAGTTTGGGAGACGGTCATTTCTGAGATCTTCTGGTACCACCCCCAAAGTCTGGATTTCTGTGTTCCTGTGGTGGGTGTGGGAGACTGAGTCCAAGGTGCGGGCCAGAGGGAGGCAGACTCTGGGTCGCTCTGCGACCTGGGATTCAAGTCATGAGAATACTGCTTCTCTGCGAGGGATCTTCCTGCCCCCGCACAGGATCACTGAGCCCGTCCCCCACCCGAGCTCCCACATAGGTCATAGGACACCTGGCAGCTTCTGCCACTCCATGTGGACCCCCATCTACCAACGTGGGCCCCCCTGGAAGACCAAGACACAAAGAAAAGACCACTGACTCCAATTAAAGTCAAATTAAAGCAAGCTTATTATTTCGACCAGCCGGGCTGCCTCTCCCAACCAAAACCGTGGGAACAAGACACAGCCCCCCAGCTCTCCAGGAGCGCAGCTTTATAGCACAGAGAGTTACACAAAGGGGGCTTGAGAACTTACAGATGACAAATCTTTGACAAGCATAACACAAAGGCTAGTTCATATTTTGCTGGCCCCGACATCAGAATTAATGAAGGTCAAATTTATGAAGGTCATTAGAGCCTCAAAGAGGGTCATTATCTGGCCAGGGAAGGCCAAGATTTACGAGGCGCCACTGAAGTTTCGGAGAGGGTTGTTATCTGGTCAGGGAAACCCGGGCAGGGGTGAGTTCAAGGCCTGGTCAGGCATTCCAAACATCAAATTACAACCAGGCTATACAGAAATCCTAATATTTTATAGAAAACAGAAATGAATCCTTTATAACTTGTGACAAGATGGCTCCTGATCTTAAGAGGGAATTAGGCTGGTTTATCACCCCCTTGGTGGCCCCATCTTGGGACTCTGCAGCAGGGAGATAGTCCCCTACGTGCAGTGGCCTGCCTGCACCCGGGGACTTCACACAGGCTCTGAAGTCAGCGACAGCCACACACTGCACGAGCGCCTCTCTGAACTCTTGGTCCAACGCCATTGCCCAGCTCCCCCCACTCGATCCGACACCCCACAGCTGAAAGCCAGAACCTCCATCTCGGGCCCCTTCATCACCATCTTCAGTGGGGGCAACGGTAACTGCAGCTGGCCAGGTACCCAGTTTCTAACTCCCCCCTCCCCAGCAGCCGCTACCCCAGCACAGTGACACCCTGGTCACCTTCACCATCCTGAGGGCGCAGACACCAGCTAACAACAGGCGACCCACCTACTGGATGAGAAGAGAAACAGGAAAGACACTGACCTCCAACCAACAACCCTGTCTCTTCCTTCAAGATCTGCCCCTCCCTCTCTATTCCCACCCTCCCATCCCCAACACAGGTGAAACCAGGTACTTTGCATGAATTAGGATCTTGGGAGCTGGGACGTCTGAATAGCATACTTCACTTGTGTTGTGTATATATATATATATTTTTTTTTTCTTTTTTCCCACCAATTTCTACTATTTTGACATTCTTAACTTTTCTTGATACGTGTGTGTGTTTGTTTTATGTTCTCTCCATCTTCC